ATCATAGGAGAATGGGTATTCTTCAACTCCATAACATGTCGTCTGAAGCTTTCACTAGCCGCCCCGCGGCAATTCCAAATAATGAGTTTCATGGACTAAGAATAAAGATTAAGAGGACCCCAAGTCACCTTGGCTGGTTGATTGCCCAGAGGAAAGGGCCACATGTTGGACGGAGCCATCGGCATCAGTTACTTCAGACTGGGGAATAGGAGCCGAGTGAAGTTGTGATCCATTTCCAATGGAATCTCTCGAGATCGAGACATCAAGGCCTAAAGATGAAGCAGTTCCATTGGGCCCATTAGTTGGAGGCAATAGTAATGTTTCTTGATCACCAGGTATTGAAGCTGAAGAGGCTTGATAGGGATGATTGGACTTCCTATAGGTTCGTCGCTTTCGTTGCAGCTTAGGTCCCACATGAAGAAAAGATGCCAGTCCCTTACCATTGCGGTAAGATGTACTGGAAGAGCTAGGGAGAGCTTCCGAGGTGTTATACCCTTGGGAGTTAGGATCAGACACCTCCAAGCATGCATGATCTGGAAGATGATGTGAGAGCGAAGGAGCTGTGGTTGAAAGGGAGATAGATGATCCCAAGCCAATTCCAGATGGAGGAGCTTTCCACTTGATGTTAAGAAAGCCACAAGATTCATGTTTAACAGGAGAAATTGATAAATCATCAGGGGAAGAAAGGTTGGAGACCAAGTTAAGGGGAGGGGAATTAGAGGGATTTAAGAATTGGGAAGAGGGGGCAAGTTGATCATCCACAACCATGGAAGGTGTTGGAACTGTCGGGGGTTGTGGGCTGCCATTAGAAAAGGTCGAGGAAAGGTGAATGGCATCGGAAGCTTGAATGGGCTTAGCTTGGATATGATTGGTGGGGGCAGTTACGGTCTTAGCCGTAGGATTTGTGTTAGACAACTTCTTTTTTTGATAGACCATTTGGATTTTGGGGGCCATAACAGAACTTGGGCCAATAATGGGATCTTTAGCAATAGGACGTTGCCCATCGTTACCGGCCCGAACAAGGTTTTTGGATGAAACTTTACCATCAGTCTTGGAATTAGTGATAGGGTCCTTAATGACCGTTGAAGGGGAGCCAGAATGTGTCTGATCAGCATTAAATGAACCACTAGGTTGACCGTTAGAAGATGAGGCCATTTGGCCCGCTTGGTGTCTAGACCCGCCCTTACGATCCTGTGAACCCGACCCGCGTCCTTCTCTCTTCGTCGGAATAGTTTTTTCTGATTGATCTGACACCTGAGATGGTTTCCTTCTATTTCGACGTCTCTCAACAAGTAGCCAAGGTCCAAATTCATCCTGCCTTGAAGATTCACTTGAGGGGACTTGATCCTCTTGCATTTGACTATCATTCCGCAAGTGATTATTCACCAAAGGGGCTAGTCTCTGAGTTGCTTCTAGATTAGAATGAACTTCCACATTATTCTGCCTCGTAGGTGGAGTTAATGAATGATTAGGAATATTAGTACCAGCCATTGGAGCGATATTAGCAGACAAGGAGGAGCCATTAGAGCATTGAGAATTCCTATGTCCAATTCGTCCACAAGAGAAACACAGAGCATTAACTCCTTCATATAACACTTTCTGTCTTCTTCTTCCAATTCTGACATATTTAACAACTGGTTTGGAAAGATCTATCTGAACACAGATACGGGCATATTGACCCCTTGTGTGATGAGCCGTATGAGCATCTACACGGAGCAAATTGCCTACTTTGTTGCCAATTTTTTGTAAGGTGGAAGGGTCATAATAATCAGCAGATAGATTTGGCAGTTGTGCCCACACGGCAGTAGTTGTGAAGGAATTAAGAGCCTCCGATGGCACAAAGTGAGGTTCCCATCTCCGTAAGGTGAGAAAGTAGGGTCCAACAAACCAAGGACCACCAAAAATCACACGATGCAGGTCTTCCTCAACTTGAAATCGCACAAGAAAGAAATCAAGGCCAAGGTCAATAAAATCCCAATGTCCTGTAGGTTTCCATTGGGCTTTCAGTCTGGGAAAAATATAGTTATAGCCAAGGGGTTTATGATGAAAAGCCTTAACAATTAAAGCATTCATCCAAGGGGCTCTGATCCTCTGTTTTTCTGCTTTGGAGAGAAGAACAACAGGGGTATCATCCTCAGGATCTTCATCTACGTCAGACTCCTCTTCCATATAAGAAGGGATTGTTGAAAAGGTAATAGCAACAGGGCTCTCCGCTCCTACTAGTTTGTCCTTGAAGGAAACAGCCCCACTCGTTCCTTGGCCACTAGCAATATCTACCATATTAGCATCGACTAGAACATCCTTAAATGTGGCATTTCGGGAGACAGTTGCATGTTGAGAATTGTTCCCAATCGAAGGTTCGGAGCACCCACCCATCACAATCTCTGGGTTCTCCGGTGAGGCTACCGCAGCACCAGGAACGGATGTGGAAATCATTTCAGTACTCGAGTTCTTGGCCAAAGAATGGCCCACAGAACACTCTTTGATCTTTTTGACACTCCGATCCAGGAGATCAACTTCCTGAGGAGAAGAAAACTTTCGAATTGCGTCGCGAACCAACATCAACAGAAGACGGCCTGATCAGAGAAGTTCAAACGGTTTCTTTTTGTTAAAGCCGACCTTCTTTAGGGGACGTAGCTTTTGGATTCATCGCTTCTTAGAACTCAAGGATACAGAGGTACGAGCCTATAGAACAGATCCTGTTCAAGTAAGGTCGTTCAGACAACTATACTTTGAAAGCGATGAAAAAGACGGAAACGTGCAGGCCCCCGTCAACGCGCACTTTCACCGCGCGCGGCAAGCTCCTTCCGCGTACCCCATCAGTATAAAATTCTTGCTCGCAGCTCATTTACTCATGCTTATTCGTTTGCTACCCTCTTTAATTATTACTACCTTCTCTTTCATTGAATTGCAGGTCCTCTGATATCGACGAGAGTAGAAATAGGTCGAGACAATGGTTGAGAGTCTTCAGGCTAGTCGCTCTGTTCTCGCTGCAAATCCATTAGGTAAAGGATGCTGGAGTTCTATTTTCGTTTCCTGTTCTTTGAATTCGAGGTTTAATGCTTCCTAGTCTTCCTACCCCCTCAGTTCCTATTTATTCTGACTCTTGCGCATGTGATTTTTGATGTTAAAAATGGCCGAATAAATATGTCTGTTAGTGGTAGTTCCAACTTCCAAGCACTGGCGAAGCCAGAAAATATTTTTAGGGGAAACAAATAAAATTTCAACTAAAAAACAATGAATTTGTGTGTCAATTTAAAGAGTTAAAAATATTTTTTCAATAACATTTGTTAGTTTTTAACAATAAACTAATAATAGTTGATAATATG